ATATATTTGCAGTCAGAGTTTGAATTATTTATTAATTATTTTTGCAAATGAGTGAGATGTCAAATAATTGATTGGAAGATTTTAAGTACTATTTCCAAATTGAGTTAGAAAGTGAATTCTGACTCATGCCCATTGCTTAAATACGTTCACTAACGTGACCTCTTTATTGAGCTTAGTCCAAACAATTGTAAAAATGAATTCACAGAATGCAGATAAGGTGAATTTGCATGACTCATAAATAATAGTTTCAATGTGTCTGTATGTCAGTTAAATATGGAGGACTGAGAAGGTTGAGCAGCTTCTGTTGTGCTGTTATAACTGGTTATAACCTCCAAGAGTAACAAGCAAACCACATTATTTACCAGTTTTGTCAAAACAAAGCTGATGTGTGTGTTTGTGAACAAAACCCAAATATGTTTCCAGTATCCTCACCGTCTCATTGATCCAGTGTTTATTTGTGGAAGATACTTCCACTGATCTGTCACCTGGTTCTGTCTTCCTAAGAAAGCTAAGAAGAGCAGGATTGTGGCCTCAAACGAAGTCATCGACAGATCCAGAGCAGCAGCATGTTTTGGAAGCAGCTGCCTCACTGAGCTTCTCTCAAGTTACGCTACTGACACAAAGAATGATGCTTCACTCAAAGTGGGTGTAGTTGGTAAGCACAATTTTCCACAGTCTAAAACTACATTTCCCCCCTTGACAAAGTGACTCTTAGACATTAAATACTATCACTAGAGGATTTAGATTGTTATTGATATTACTTATGCGAGCACTATGACTCCTTTGCTGTCTGATGGACCTCTGAAAAATAGGCAAACTATATTCTTTCTGGTTTCTTTGGCTCTCTTCATATGTACAGATATCTAAATGTGTTTTTTACCCTCAGGTTTTCCTAATGTGGGGAAGAGTAGTCTGATCAACAGTATGAAGGGGATCCTGGCCTGTAACGCTGGAGTCAAGAGGGGAATCACAAAGTGAGTGACAGGCATAAAAAGACAAGCTCTCATCACAACTGTAGCATTTCCTGTTCCACACAGGATTGCTGTAGCAGTAGATGTTACTAATGTTAGTGCTCAGACACACACTGTTAACATCATTTTCTGATCAGGTTCCCTTTCCTTATTTCAGTGTAAAACCCAGGAGTTCATCAGATGTTTATATACATGCATGAGCGGTGATATCCACATTCAATAAATGAAATACTCCAATTAGTAAAATAGTAGTTATCAATAATAAGTAGGACATGACTGTTGTTAAAAGCAACAATAGAGCTGAGTAGCATCAAAGTAGTGGAGTCCTATCACATGACCAGATGAGAATTGGTTTCACAAAAGTGAACCTTGAAACTTTGTGACTGTGCAAACTGTGAGGTGGGCATCATCTGGAGGGGACACTTCTCATACACACACACACCTTCAAGTGTGTATGTCCAGTGTTTTTTACTTGCTTCACTCCCTTCCACATAATCACATGTTAACTCCAACTCTGCAGATCTATGCAAGAGGTGCACATCACGAAGAATGTGAAGCTAATAGACAGCCCCGGAGTCTTGGCATCGCCATCCAACTCACAGGCTTCTATGGCCCTGAGGAGCCTGCAGGTGGAGGAGGGCCAGGAGACAGTTTTGGAGGCCGTCAGGACTCTGCTCAAACAGTGTGACAAGTCCCAGGTAGGAAGTGTTTCCATCTTGAGAGCGATGTGCAACATAAGGTCTGGTTGTTCTGTTCAAATGATAAAGGTATTTAAAGTAACCTATACTCGGTGTTCTCACAGATCATGCTTCAGTACACTCTGCCAGACTTCAGAAACTCTCTAGAGTTTTTGACCTTGTTTGCCAAGAAGCGTGGTTTTCTGCAGAAGGGTGGAGTCGCTAACACAGAGCATGCAGCCACAGCTTTCCTTGCTGAATGGACAGGGTGAGTTTGTTTTGACCTAAATACTTTTTGAAAATTAGGCTGCTGCAGTGCATCAATGTGGAAATGAGGACAAAACGCAAATCTGGACTTCAGTATGAAGACTTCTAATCCAACTCTGATCCAAACACAGTGCCTGGAAATACATAAATATAATAAGAGTCTGGAGAGCGACATGTCATTTTAAAACATTTGTTTTGACGTTTCCTCAGAGCGAAGATGAGCTACCACTGTAAGGCAGCAGAGAACAAGAGCCTCCCTTCGTACCTGTCTGACGCTGTGGTAGCTGAGATGAAGAATGGCTGGGACCTGACTAAACTGGAAACAGGAAACAAAGAATGCCTGAAAGGTGCAGACATGTAGTTTAAATTATTCTAACAAATATTAGGTCCAGTTTTATTGAAGTAAATCAATTTATCAAATAATATTAGTTGCATTTACATGTAGCACTTTCAGTTTTTACTTGATTCTTGCTGTTATGGGTTTTTATCCTCAAGGTTAGCTGCACTTACTGTAAATTGCTTTGGATTAAAGCGTCAGCTCAATGATATATAATGTACTTGAGGCTGTTCAAGGTTTTGAAGTAGTGATGATGGATGAATGATCTTTATGCTGCAGTTGGTGATGCTAAGTAAAAACTACTGCACTTTTATTTGATTGAATTTTTCTTTTTGGCACATTTCATCTGGGCATATTAAGTAAACAAGTTGACTAATACATTAGTCACATGTCTGGATTTCATCCTTCAAGTTCTCTAGACAGTGTAGCAAAATTTTATCGGCTCTTATAAGCCTCTTCTTTTGTACACCAGCGCTGATGTATGTTTTTCATTTCCATTATAAGACTTGGGTGCAGCACCTAAACCAAATTACCAGAACAATGCTGAGATTTGGCTAGTATGCTGGAGAGAAAGGAAAGTGTACTGGCTGTGATTTAAGACGATATTTGCTCCTCTTTTCATCTTGCTAATGTCTTGGTGTTCATTGACAAAACAAAAACCTGTGTTTATATAAATATTGTAATGAAAATGGTCCAAAATGATGGAGAAACATTCAGAATTCCAAATGTTGTTGCCACTACTGGGCTTCTAGACTTGTCAGTGCAGTGTTTAAAATGTAGTCACTCCTGTGAATGAAACTGAAAACAGTTTTTGCTCTTGCAGGTGTGAAATGTCCAAACCAGGCCAGCAGTATAAGCTTCACGTCTAAAGGGCCGACTACAGGTCTGCTGAGCATCAGTGAAATCAGTGAAATAAAACCTGATGCTACAACCACAGAGCGTGAAGCAGTGCAGAATGATGAGGTAACTACAGATGTCACATTAGTGTGTTTGTTTTGAAGAAGAATAAAGCTGTTTCAAAAAGCATGGAAATGAGGACATATACGCAAGTCTGATATGTTTGTGAAGACTTCTAATCCAACTCTGATCCTGCTGGCTGGTCATATTTTTGATTCTGTGTATTTTAATGATTTTTGGTGTTTAAAGAAAGTCATCTTCTCTTTTAGCCTGAACAAACTCCTGAGGAGACAAATAACACACAAGAGTCGGAGAAACCACAGGAGGTGTCACTCATAAGTAAATTCTGTTTTTAAAAGAAGTATTTTTCTACTAAAACCTGCACACAGTTGGTCATGTTTTTACTTATTGCCCTGTTTTTGCAGAAAAACCTGTCAAGGTGCAGTTTCCCATCGACATCAATCTCTCCGCAGCTTCAGCAGATGACGCTTATGACTTCAACATGGACTTTAAATGAGCTTCATCTTTTCACTGCTTTAAAAAATAGCTCACATGGTCTGAGGATGCAGACCTGAACTGGTGGCCTCCCCTAACTGCTGAAACCTGGAGGACAGTGGGAGTTTTCCCATACGAGAACTGACCTTTATTCTAGACTACAGTTTTTATTCGATAGCATCGAAATTCGTTTGTCTGGGTTTTGTCTGCAGTCCAGGAGATTAAATGCTTGGTGCATATGTATTAATCACCGACTTCTCCTTTTAAAATGTCCAGGGGTAATAAGCAGTATCTTATCAATACAGAATCATGTAAATAGCTGACTCACTATAAATGTAATAAATCCTCTATAAAGCCTTTTTTTCCCAAAACAGTTTTTATGGTGTTTTCTTGCAAATATTTCTATTCAATTAAATGGTTAATGGACTTAATGTAAATCGATCTTTTCCAGTCTTAACCACTCAAAGTGCTTTACAGTGCGAGTCTCATTTACACACATAAACTATAATGTAGTGCATCTATATGCAGCGCTTTTCTATCAGAGAGCCTTCATAAACTGTCGGAACAGCTGTGGGGATGATTTGGGGTTCAGTGTTTTGCCTAAGGGCACTTCAGCATACAGACTGGATGTGCTGAACCACTGACATTCTATTTTAAGAGGACTTCCCTCTAACTTCTGAGCCAAAGAATATCATGATCAGTTTGATCATTTCCTTTCTTTGGCAGAACTATTTGGGAAATTTTGTAAAACTTAACAATTCCATGTCAATCAAGTGACGAAGCAGTGCCTTGTTACAATTTTCATAAAAAATTTATTTCAATTTGTGTTACATTAGGTTTTATTTGAGAGCATTTAAATAAGAACTTTTTTCAGAAAAAGATGTCACACGATTCTGTTCACTGGATGTGGATATGAATGGATTCTGTCTGTGGCCCTGAATTATAGGATCACTCACAACAACTGCACACTATCAAAACAATGATCGGAGGCAAATTAATAACTTTCATAGCTTTTCCAAACAAATTCTCACCTGATTACCTCCCTCCAAACTCCCACCTCAGTCTGAAGTTGGTCACAACCAACAGCAGGTAACTGACTACAAATTGGCACAAAATATTTGCTGTGGGTTTTGCAGGTTA